CCAAATTAAACAGTATACTATACAAAAACACGTTTAAAAGTTAAAACTTTGGCTTTTATATATGTAACTCTGATTTTAAAACAAAAATCACAGACGATAAGTTTTAATAAAAATGCATAACATGAAAANAAAAAAAAAAGATGATATGCGATATTTAAAAAAAAATTGTTAAGATGCATAAAGTTTTATTAAATGTTTTCATAGTTTTTAAAGCCAATTTACCAATCACTTTCTAATACAATTAAAAAAAATTGCGTTGGACAAAATAACTCTCTTGATCAAGATTTTCGAAAGAAAACCTTACTCCACCACAAATTGTACATCTAGAAAAAAAAATCATTTTACCAATGAATCAATGTGAAAAATAAATATCACAGCAAATCGACAAATAAAGTGATATACAAATACAATCAAGCATCAATTATTCTTTCATTATAATTCAAGATTCTAATGAAATAAACAGAAAGATGCATTCCAACATTTCTGTTGAGGATATGCAGATGTCTCTATAGAAGCAAAATATATTATAATATTTCTAATCAATAGATTTTTACAATCGTTATTTTAGAAAACCGTAGTGAATATAAATAAATGCATACAAGTTACGGATTTGTGTCAAGAAAGATGTTTTCTTATGTTGTAACAGTCTTTTCTCTTTTTTGCCTATTACATTGTATTTATACAACAATTTGGTGCAAATGGTTAGTTTTCTAACTTAGATAATTATTTACTATAAACACTAAATTTATGTGATATTAAATACATAACCAATACATTATAAATTATTGCATATTTTACCATGTTAACTTTAAATTCCATGCAACACGTGGACAATCACTAGTTTTACAAGGTTAGAACGCTTAGAGTTGCAAATCAATCCAAATTCCATATTATTGAGCATGTGTTAGCAATTTTGGTTCAATTTTCTTAATTAATACCAACCTATTAAAATAATTAAAATAAAATATTAAATTTATCTCGTGCAACGCACGGGCAGTTTAAGTTACTAATTACTTGCACGATTAGTCTCTTTTTTTTTAATGTCGATTAAAATAAAAAGTAAGGAAATTCGTGTCAAGAAAATAAAAACTTGCCGACAAAAAAGAAGAAGTTAGGGAGTCTTCATCAATGGGCCTACATAAAAAGCCCAAGTCGTCTACACAAGAGTGGTCGATGAAATTAATTTTGCGACTGCTCTGTTAAATCCTTTTTTGTCCGGTAATGATGAAAGATTATTTGATCCTGAGACCTG